CCTATCTCTGCGTCCTTTCTCCTTCTCACTTTTCCTTTCACTTTTCTTTTGTCTCTTCTCACTCCAACCAAAAGGGAAATCGCAAGGGAGTCATATAGGGAAAGGAGACAACGTGAAGAAATAAGAAAGAATCATTTCCATATTGTCCCCTATTCCTGTCTCTAAATCTGTAGATTTTTCAGAATGGAAGGGCTTCTTTCTCCCTCTCACTTTTCCTTTCGCTTTTCTTTATATTTTCTCACTCCAACCAAAAAGACAAGGGAGAGAGGTGGGAGATATAAAGCCCTTTACCTTCCCAAAACAGAGAAAAGTGACGAGAATCAATCAGGGAAACCTGGCTCCTAATCTCCTCGGTTTCCGCTCTTTCCTCGTTATTCTCTCTTCCTTTCTTCTCTGCTGGCGCTTGCATTCTTATCAAAATATGAAAGTTGCGGGGGCATCCCTTTCACTTTCTCCCTTCTACGGGCACTTCACTCCTTTTTTCCCACTATCTTCTTCGATCTTCCTTCCGAAAAAATTCGAAAAGGAAGCGATAGACCAGGGTGAAGGAGCAGTTTCCATCTTCGTTCCCGGCACCTTCTTATTCGTTCTTCTCTCTTATTATCTCTTTGTTTCTTTTCTTCCGCCCAAAACAGGAATTGCCGCAGGGCTCTCTCTCCTAATCTTTCTTCTTTACTCATATGGGAATGATAAAGAAGAAGAAATGAGAAAGAATCATGAGCTCTTCTTTTCGTATCTCTTCAGCATTTTCAGCATGGAAGGCGGGCCAGAGGCGAGAGAGTGCAAAGGGAAGAGACGCGAGAGATCAATGGGGACAAGCGAAGGGACGTGCGGGGAAAGGAGGGACAGCCCGGTCGAGACAAGCTCCCGAGAACCTGCGTGCAGGCAGGTGATCTTTCTTCACTTATCTTCATCATTGTCTCATTTTCTTAGTGGGAAACGTAGAATGCAAACAAGATAAAAGAAAGTCAAGGGAAGAAAGAGAAGGGTTCCTTTTTGTGGTGAGAAGGTAGTCGGAAAGCAAAAGGAGACTCCTCTTTCATTCTGTTTATCCCTGCCTCTTATAGTCTTTTTCGGAAGGAAGAGAAAAGAAAATATGCGGATAGGAAGGGAGCCTTTCTTCGATGGGAAAAGTGAAAGAAATGCCCCCGCACCTGTCACACAAAGCAACAGAAGAGAAAAGAAAGGAAGTTATAACAGTGCAGAAGGAGGCGAGGAAACACTAGAGGCCGCCCTTCTTCTGTCCGTTTGAGCGTGACGAAACAAAAGAAATGGAAAGATGAAAGTCGGGAGGGGGGCTGGTAGCTGTTCCTTTCTTTTCCGAACCAGGATTCCAGGATAGCGAAGGAAATAGTAGGGAAAGGCCCTCTTTCTTCTTTCGTGTTTATTTATGTCTGCACTGTGCAAAGAAAAGAAGGCGGGGACAGGCCGTTTAGAAATGAAAGCAGGCGATCTTTTCATCCATTTTGGTCACCTTTCTATTTATTGAGCTGTAAGGGGCTCTCTATCTCTCACCTCTCTCCCTTGTCTTCTCCCTTCTGCTTGGAGTGAGAAAAGAAAAGTGAAAGGAAAAGTGAGAGGGAAAATGAAGCCCTCCTTCCATTCTGAAAAATCAGCAGAGATAGGAATAGAAGAACTCCGAAGATAGGAACACAGGAACGTCTGCACATGATTCTTTCTTTTTCCTCCTTTTCTTTCTAGATTCTGGGTTTAGGAGTTAGAGTTTAGGAAATACGGTATAGAGTTTCTTGTGTAGGGTTTTAGAGTGTACGAATTTGTGGTCAGGGTTCCGGGCTTAGGGTCTGAGATTGCAAGAGCCAAAACATTTATCAGTCCGAAATGAGTTGTCTAAGTGCGCATATGCGTGAGAAGTAGCTGGGTTGTCTTGGATATGCTAAAATTGATTAATAATCCCAGGCGGTAGCTTCTAAATAGACCCTATTTTGCTCAGCCACGGTAGCTGGCTTTACCTAAACCCTAAACCCTATAACCCTAAACCCTAAAACCCTAAACCCTAAACCCTAAACCCTAAACCTCCTCGAACCCTGGAAGAGGAAGACCCTGGGCGGCTGTTCTTCTTCCGTCGCCTTCTCGTCTGAGCTTCTGAGACCCCCAGCCCAAGCCCAGGAAACGGGAGGTTCAAGGTCTCTTCGGGATTTAGGGGCAAAGGTTTTTTTGGGTTTAGGGCTTAGGGCTTAGGGTTTAGGGTTTAGGGTTTAGGGTCTAAGGCTTATAGGGCTTAGGCTTTAGGTCTTAGGGGTTTAGGGCTTAGGGTGGAAGGCTGCTAGGGCGTGCAGCTCAATGGGCAGGCGTTTGCAGGGCTTTCAGAGCTTGAGGGTGTTAGGGTGCCCCCTGGCGGGAGTTGTGAAACTTTGGGGGCTTGCCTTGGGGACCAAAGGAACCGCAAAATTGGGGTCCTGATAGTATCCTATCTACGATCATCCTATTGAGGTATAGGACCCATTAAACCCTAAACCCTAAACCCTAAACCCTAAACCCTAAACCCTAAACCCTAAACCCTAAACCCTAAACCCTAAACCCTAAACCCTAGACCCTGCTATGGTTCGTTCGGTCCGCCAGGTGGGGGCTTATCGGGTCTGGGTTTCGGGGGCTAGACGTGTAGGGTCTAGCCCTAAACCCTAAACTCTGATCCAAAAAAACCCAAACCCTTAGGTTAGGAGTTTCCTGCCAGCTCCGGGCTTGTTTCAACAAGCGTTACACGAGATGCTGACCCTGCAGGAGGAATACAAGGCCCGAAGCCCCTAAACCTTAAACCCTAAACCCTAACCCTAAACCCTAAACCCTAAACCCTAAACCCTAAACCCTAAACCCTAAACCCTAAACCCAAACCCTAAACCCTAAACCCTAAACCCACTGCGTAGTCGAGATCAGATGAAGGGCCAGGGCTTCCCTAGACCCAAGAGAAGCCCAGGAATAATAAGGGCGCCCTTTTGGATTTTACAGAGGCTTGTATAAGGGAACAACTAAACTCTAACAAGAAGATAGAAAAAGAGTATAAAACTCTAACAAGAAGATAAGAAAAAGAGTATAAAACTCTAACAAAAAGATATAAAAAGAGTATAAGGGGCCTACTCTAAGTCCTAGCTCCTGTTACATCCTCTTCTCTCCTGTTGCCTCGGCTTGGAGTGGAGGGCCCCTCTGCAGACTGCTCCCTCCATGGAGGAGGAGTTCCGAGAGGGATGCCTAAAGCAACTGAAAGCGGCCTCCTACGAGAAGGTCCTTCTTGTGCCTTCGACCCAGGGTGTGGGTGGCTTGAAGGAAGTGGGTTCCGAGGTCCTACGGGTAAGAGAAGCACTTAAGGATGCTGCGGGTAAGTGCCCCCTCCTGTCCCCCAATTCTGCTTGGGCTCAGGGTTGATAGAGGTGATTTAGGGTCTGGGTCTGTCTTCGGACTGTGGCGGACTCAAGGCAAATTAAGGCGCAAAGAGAACCTGCAAGTGGAGAGCCAGATGCACAGGCACTGCTATGTACACCACCTTCTGCGGCGCGGAAGCATCCGTCACCTCGTCGTCCACCTTGGCCTTGCTTCTCCGCGCACACCAGCTCCTCGACATGACACAGAGGAGCTATCGAGATGGGTCCCGTCTGCGCCAGAAGATGGGACATACCTCTCGCTTCGAGCTACTTGCATGCTTCATATAGGCATCTGCAGCTGCTAATCCCCAAAGCCCTCGCGACGAAAGAGCTATAAACACCACCCACACCCAGCCCGGCCGCAAGGTTACCAACGAATAGAGACCAGCAGCCCTGAAAACCCGGGACTTCGGGCCTTCAACTTATCAATCATCTGCCCAATCAGTAGCCCGGTAAACCCAGACCCGAGACAAAGCACTGGGAACGAAAGCAGTAAGTCGCTCTAAACGCCCCACAGCCCTACCCCCCCCCCCCCCCCCCCCCCCCCCAAAGAAAAAAAACATAAAACATAAATAAAGCACATAAGTTCTCAAGTCTATAATCCGAACTGTCGTGAAGCCTCCGTGTCGGCGCCGTCGTTCGTACCACTCCTCCTTCTATGGGACTTAAGACGTGAGGCTTCAACCCTAAACCTCTCAACCCCCCACCCCCAAACCCCTACCCCCCTTCTTTCCTTAGGCGGAGAGCAGCCCTAAACCCTAAACCCTAAACCCTAAAACCTAAACCCGAAACCCTAAACCCTAAACCGCAGCTTCGCTACTTCTGCTGCGGGCGAAGACCCTCCATGAAACCCGCAAACGAAGGAAACCCCCCAGACGGGTCCAGAGCTGCCAGATGTGAGCCACAAATTGAAGGGTTAGGGTTTAGGGTTTAGGGTTTAGGGTTTAGGGTTTAGGGTTTAGGGTTTAGGGTTTAGGGTTTAGGGTTTAGGGTTTAGGGTTTAGGGTTTAGGGTTTAGGGTTTAGGGTTTAGGGTTTAGGGTTTAGGGTTTAGGGTTTAGGGTTTAGGGTTTAGGGTTTAGGGTTTAGGGTTTAGGGTTTAGTTAGGGTTTAGGGCTAAAGGTTTAGGGTGTTTTTCGGTTTCAAGGTTCAGGGTTTCAAGTTTCAAGGTCTACGAGCTGAGGGTGTGGGGTTTCAAGGTTGTAACGGCCTGTACTGTAAGGGCTGAGGGTTCCATGGGCTCATCCGGAGGGAGGGCACATGTGCGCGTGCACACGCGTGATGTTTGAGGAAGGCTACACAACTCCAAACCCTGAACCCTGAACCCCAAACCCCAAACCCCCAATTAGGAGGGGAGGCCGCAGAGTTAGAATGGGAACCAGCAGGCAAAGAAGAGCTGGAGCATCCCGACTCAATTCCCCACTTTTCTCAAAACCCCAACACAAGCCCGCGGAAAGGAACGTGACACCCTCCAGCCCCTGAGTCCCTAAACTGCCCACAAGACCCTAGACACTATACCTGAACCCTAAACCCTAAACCCTAAACCCTAGACCCTAAACCCTAAACCCTAAAATCCATCCCTCAATCAATCTTGAGTTTCCCTTCAGCCGCAAGCCCCTGCCTCTGCTTATTTCGGGGCACCATGCTGCACGTCATCCATGCCTCAGCTGATGGAGGACTCCGGCTTACGGTTTTTTGGGGTGGTAAGGGCTCTGTAGGGGGGGGGGGGCTTTTGCATAGGTGTCAGAGCGTTAGGCCTTTCGAGGTTTAGGGTTTGGGACGGTTTAGGACGGTTTGGGATTGGGGGCTGAAGGAAGATCAGCCGCCAATTCCTCTACTCACGGTGACCTAGGTGAAACCATTGAATCATAGCGAAGCTTCCAACTTAAGACATAGCCAAACAAATCTCACGGGCGAGAGACGACGCATGGTCGCCTGCATGTGGGTCAAGGTGTCCTGCATGAGGACTCCAGTTTTTGGGGCCTACGGCTCAGAAGCCCTAAGCCCTTAACCCTAGAGCCCACAGAACGCGGCTTGAGGCTTGTAGAGTAGTGTCTTATGGGCACAGCATTCTACTCTCAGCCCCTCTCAGCCCACCACAACAAAATACGTGCCACGCACAAGAACCTAGAAGCCTGACGCCCAACCAGTCGCGATCCATGCCCAGGATTCCACACCCGAGACCCTAAACCCTGAACCCTAGACCCTAGACCCTAGACCCTAGACCCTAAACCCTAAACCCTAAACCCTAAACCCTAACCCTAAACCCTAAACCCTAAACCCCAATGAACCCCAAGCCCTCTAAACCCTGAACCCTAGAAGTGCAAGTACCCTGAGGAAGGATTTTACCATACCCCCTGAATGTCTTTAAGGCTATGGGGGTATGTTGAATGTAAAAAAACTTCCCCAAAAGGGCACTGCGATTTCGGGAAACCCTTCACATTTCTACCCTAAACCCTAAACCCTAAACCCTGAACCCCAAACCCTAAACCCTAAACCCTAAACCCATAAACCCCCCTTATTTCTTTGATGAAAGTAAAGGTCCTGGAGGTTGATCTGCTGCTCGATGGCCTGCCGCGATGGCAGCTGCGGCTCCGGCAGAGAGGGCGGCGAGGGCGGGGGGCTCTTCACCCCTGGCCAGAGCGGGTCGGAGATGCGTGTGTGTGGGGTGTGGGGTTTAGGGTTTAGGGTTTAGGGTTTAGGGTTTAGGGTTTAGGGTTTAGGGTTTAGGGTTTAGGGTTTAGGGTTTAGGGTTTAGGGTTTAGGGTTTAGGGTTTGTTCGCGTCGGGTTTGGAGGGGTGTTTCGTGGGAGGGTTTAGAGGCTTGGGCTTGAAGGGTCGCGGTGCAGACGTGACATGTCCCCGAGCCAAGGGTACTGCTGGGTGCACAGCCCGAAAAGTACCCCTAAACCCTACAAGAAACCCCGAAGGCCTCTGCTACGGAGTGGTATTCCGAATCTAGTGATTGTTTTGGGGCCCGGGATTCCAGGTAAGCAGCCAAAAACCACCCAAAATGCCATGGCCTGTGATCACCAGATGAGGCCCGGCCGCGTCGGGACGTGGCTTGGCGACCAGGCGGGGTCTGTGGCCAGTCGGGTTTGTGGTAGTAGGGGGTTTAGGGTTTAGGGTTTAGGGTTTAGGGTTCTGGGTTTTGCTGAAGAGGGAGCCCTAAGGGGTGCGTGTGTGGGAGGTTCGGGGCGGGATCTCGTGACCTGCCAAACCTTGGTTTAGCTGAGCTCAACAACTTGAGAGATTGAAGCCTGCACCACCCGAAACCCTAAACCCTAAACCTGAAACCCTAAACCCTGAACTACCGAACAAAGGCTGAAGATTGCAAAGCCCCAACTCCCCCTCAACCCTAAACCGGGTTTAGGTTTACGGCCCCACGAACGCCCAAACCCACAAACCAACCCCCCCCAACCCTCGCCCCCACCACACCCCAACAAGAGCCGCGTGCGCCTTTCAGGCACCGCCGGGGAATCAGGCGGGGAGGCCTTGTAATTCGAAATCCCAACCCTAAAGCCTAAACCCCAAACCCTAAACCCTAAACCCCCCAAATTTAGGGGTGTAGCTTCTTTCTTCAGGGCTCATCGGGCTTTTGGGGGCTCGGGGACTGTCAGGGGCCTCGGGAGTTTCAGGCCCGTTCTCGGGCTTGAAGCTTTAGGGAGTTGGGGTCTTTAAGGATTGAGGGTGTGGGATTTGGGGTTTAAAGTTTAGGGTTTGGGGTTGAGTTTCTTGGGGCATTCGGCGGTTTTTGGGGGGGGTTGAGGGGCTTGAGGGGCTTGAGGGTTTGAGGGTTGCGGTTGCTTTCGGTTGCCGGGTCTTGAGGGCTTGTGAGGTTGAAGGATTCGTAGCGTTAGGGTTGGAGGACAAGTGAGGGGGATTCGGGGACAAAGATTCCGACGCAAGCATCGGACATCACGAATGTTTTCAGTGCTGGCGGGGTTTGGGGGGGGGGTCTGTGCGAGGTATAGGCAGCTTTGTTGAGTGACGAGTTCAGCCAGAGATGGGTCCTCACTGGCATTCAAAGGTTTCAGCAACGGGGGCCTGGAGGTTTTCAAGCTACGGTACCCCTGAACTCCAAGCTCTGGAACTCATAACCCTCAAACCTCTCAGGCCCTTGTGTTCAAGGGGAAGACCTACACCCGGCTTTGAAGCAGCAAAAGAACCTTCCTGAACCCTGAAGCCACTAAACTTAAACCCTCTGAACCCTCTAAGCCCTCCAAACCCTCCAAACTCAAAAGCCCTAAGCCCTAAACCCCTAAAGCCCGAAAGCCCTAAAGCCCTAAAGGCCCTAAAACCCAAAAACCCAAAAACCCAAAAACCCAAAAACCCAGAAACCCAAAAACCCAAAAACCCAAAAACCCAAAAACCCAAAAACCCAAAAACCCAAAAACCCAAAAAACCCTAAAACCCCAAAACCCTACAACCCTAAAACCCTAAAACCCCAAACCCTAAGCCCCAAGACCCCAAAACCCCCAAACCCCGAAACCCCGAAACCCCAAAACCCCAAAACCCCTAAAACCCCAAAACCCTAAAGCGCTAAGCGCTAACCCTTATAAACCCTTATGAACCCTCAAACCTAAACCCTAAAACCCTAAACCCTAAAACCCTAAACCCCTAAAACCCTAAGCCCTAAACCCCTAAACCCCTAAAACCCTAAGCCCTAAACCCCTCAATTGCGCCCCAGAGGCCGCCTGCTGGCCGAAGTGGGGCAGCGACGCCCCAGGCCCAGGATAGCCCGCACCTCCAGGGAGTAAAATGTTTTGGAATAGGGTTTGGGGTTTAGGGTTTAGGGTTTGAGGTTTCGGGTTCAGGGTTTGGGGTTTCGGGTTTAGGGTTTAGGGTTTGGGGTTTGGGGTTTGGGGTTTCGGGTTTCGGGTTCAGGGTTGGGTGTTTGGGGTTTAGGGTTTGGGGGGTTTAGGGGGAGGGCCTTGGAGCTTCGGAGCTGGGGTTCGGACCTGGTCTGGCATCCTCGCGTTTGAGAGAGGATGAAACTCCCAACCTCATGTGAACGACACCCTAGAGACCCTGAAGCCTAAACCCTGACCCTGAACTCCTGAACCCTAAGCTGCGAGGGCCCAAAACCCGGAGCCTTTGAGCCAGAAGCCCGAACCCAAGACCCTAAACCCTGAACCCTAAACCCCCAAACCTAAACCCCTTCCGAGGAAAAACATGCGCCCCCCTCCTTCTCCCGGAATTGCCTTTTGAGCCTGCATCGCCGTTGCTTGCGCCTGGGAGTCTGCCCTAAACCCTAAACGTTTGGAGTCCACATCCTACGCCCTATACACCCCGAAGGATTCAGGGTTTTCGGTTGAGGGTGTGGGTGCTTGGCGTTCCCATGCCGAACACATCAGGTGCTTTTTTCATCATGGGCAAGAAAGCTGGAAGAACCCGCAAGCCCCGAGTTCCCACACCTTAACCCTGAACCCTAAACCCTAAACCTTAAACCCTAAACCCTAAACCCTCTAACCCCAAACCCCAAACCCTAAACCCAACAACCCTAAACCCTATACCCCCAAACCCTAAACCCCAAACCCTAGACTCCTAAACCCTGTAAGAATACTCAGGTTCCCAAACAATCCGACTCCCAAACCAGAATACCCTAAAACCCTACACCATAGAACCGCAGACCCTGAACCCTAAACAAACAATCGAACCCCAAACCCAACACCCCAACCCCTAAACCCTAATGCCCCTAGACCCTAAACGAGAACCCTTAACCCTTAAACCCTAAACCCCTGGTAGCCTTAAACCCCTCAAAACCCCTAAGCCCTAAACCCGAAACCCTATAAACCCTAAACCCTAAACCCTAAACCCCTGGTAGCCTTAAACCCTCAGCCCCCTAAAGCATCGTGCCGGGCCCTCCCGAGCCCCACACTGGGTGGCGTCGGCATCACCTCGAGGTTTCCGGCCACCAGCTGTCGGGTGCGAGCCTGGCTTGGAGGGCTTTTGAGGTGTGGGGTTTAGGGTTTAGGGTTTAGGGTTTAGGGTTTAGGGGTTAGGGTGTGGGGTTACTGGGAATTAGGGTTTTGGGCATTTAGGGTGTGAATTGGGGTTAGGGGTTTAGGGTTGTGGGGTTTCTGAGGAGACTCTAGGCGCCCACATGAACTCTCACTTCTGAACGGGGGGAGACCCTAAAACAGCTAAGGCTCCAAAGTCACACCCAGGTTCGATGGTTTCTTTAAAGGAAGAACGCAAGTCCTCTATACCCCTGTATCGTACCCTAATATGAGAAACTCCTAAACCCCTAACGCCTCTAGACCCGAAAGACCCTCAAAGCCCCGAAGTCCTAAACTTCACAACCCTTACACCCAAAGACCCGAAAACCCTTAAACCCCAAAAGCCAACCTGGAACACCAAAAAAACGCAAGCCCTCCCTAAACCCTAAACCCGAAACCCTAAACCCTAAAACCCTGAACCCTGAACCCTAAACCCTAAACCCTAAACCCTAAACCCTAAACCCTAAACCCTAAACCCCTCAGAAGTGCCCACGGGGCACCAGGAAGTCCAGCGTCGAGGCCACCCCGGTGGCCCCGGAGGCCGCGCCCGGGGACGGCAGCGCCAGCAGTGGCTGGGCGGCCTGGAGAGGAGAACAACGGTTTACAGGTTTAGGGCTCAGGGTTTAGGGTTTGGGGTTTTGTAGGGTCTAGGGTTTAGGGTTTGGGGTTGTTTGGGGTGTTTGGGGTGTTTGGGGGTGTTTGGGGCGTTTGGGCGGTTTGGGGTGTTTGGGGTGGTTGGGGTGTTTGGGGTGGTTGGGGTGTTTGGGGTTCGGCCTGAACGCTAAACTTAAGGGTTTAGGGTTTGCACGGGTGTCTCGGTCTCAGTACGAGTAGGGTTCAGGTTTCGGGTGTCAGGTTCGGGGTTTAGGCAAGACAGATTTGAAGGGTGTTTTCTCCCGCTCGGATGCTTCCTTCCCCAATGAACATGCGCTGAATCAAGGGGCCTTCATAATAAGAACAGGGTGTTGGTGCGATTATAGTAAGTGCAGGCTCTCGCCCGAGGGCGGGAGGAGATAAGACCAGCTTGCAAGAGTCTGTTGCTCGAAACCATGGCTAGATTCCAAGGGTGGCGTCAGTGGAGAAATGTGAAGAACTTACGCGCCCAGGTTCTTGAGAGTTGTTCAGGATGCGGTGCGTTCAGGATATGTAGGGCTTGGGATGGGGGTATCGCTTGGGTCTTTTGCACCAAGCCCCTGAACCTCTACTGCATGGTTTGGGTTGGGGTTTGAAGGCAGAAGGGTACATTGAAGGTAGAGCTGAGGGTTTAGCACACCCGTAAAAGGGGGATGAGCAGCCTCATCCTTGTATTTCCTAAAGGCCCAGAATAGGAACCCCTGAAAACAAGAAGACCCCAAACCCTAAACCCTAAACCCTAAACCCTAAACCCCAGACCCTAAACCCTAACCCTAAACTAAATACCGAGGTTCCACCTTCTCTCGCCCGAGGGCGGGAGGAGATAAGACCAGCTTGCAAGAGTCTGTTGCTCGAAACCATGGCTAGATTCCAAGGGTGGCGTCAGTGGAGAAATGTGAAGAACTTACGCGCCCAGGTTCTTGAGAGTTGTTCAGGATGCGGTGCGTTCAGGATATGTAGGGCTTGGGATGGGGGTATCGCTTGGGTCTTTTGCACCAAGCCCCTGAACCTCTACTGCATGGTTTGGGTTGGGGTTTGAAGGCAGAAGGGTACATTGAAGGTAGAGCTGAGGGTTTAGCACACCCGTAAAAGGGGGATGAGCAGCCTCATCCTTGTATTTCCTAAAGGCCCAGAATAGGAACCCCTGAAAACAAGAAGACCCCAAACCCTAAACCCTAAACCCTAAACCCTAAACCCCAGACCCTAAACCCTAACCCTAAACTAAATACCGAGGTTCCACCTTTGGCATTCTGGTATTTGGCACATCCCTGTGGGTCCTTCATGTTGGCAGCAGGCTGCGACGCGGACGGTTTCCTTGGACGGCAGGGGCCAGGGCCGGGTTTAGGGTTTAGGGTTTAGGGTTTAGGGTTTAGGGTTTAGGGTTTAGGGTTTAGGGTTTAGGGTTTAGGGTTTAGGGTTTAGGGTTTAGGGTTTAGGGTTTAGGGGTTAGGGCCCCAACGGCCCCTCAAGACAAGAGAGCCGTCTGGATGTTCCCTCAAGAAGCTCTTGAAACACTTCTAAGCCCATATCAGCCCGTATAAGCCTTTGCAACACCTAAACCTTGGGATGTGTTCCCTCATACTACCAGTAACAGTCCTTAATCGGGATGATAATAAGGGGTATTAAGGACTGTTAGTACAAGGGGGAACATCCCAAACCTAAACCCTTGAAAGCCTGCAAGTTGCGAGAATCCTCGTTGTAAGCCTTCGCCCTTAGAGGCCTCGGACCCCCAACCCTCAACCCTCGAAACCCCAAACCTTGCACCCAAACTCCCTCAACGTAGACCCTATGAACTCCGCCCGAAAAAACCTTAAATCGTAAACCCTATGAACCCCGAAGCTCTCTGAACCCAAACACCTAAACCCTAAACCCTAAACCCTAAATCCTAAACCCTAAACCCTAAACCAACCCTAAACCCTGTCCCCTGATCTGAGCGCAGTTCACAGGATGCCTCAGCCTGGGCTTGTCTGCCAGCGCCTGCTTGTCGCTGGGCTCTCGCTGGTACCTTGCGGGGCTGCTGGGTTTAGGGTTTAGGTTTTAGGGTTTAGGGTTTAGGGTTTAGGGTTTAGGCTTTCGGGTTGTTTGGGGGTTGAGAGGTTTGAGGGTTTAGTCGCCAGGCGCGCTGAATCAATCCTGCCCGGTGAATGCCCATGCCCCCCTTGACGTCTTTAAGCCTCGACCCCGGCACGACTTTGCAGCGCCTCGGCAACGGCAGATTCACACCAAACCCTGAACCCTAAACATCCTCAAATTCCCCCACCCCCCACCCCCCCTCTCGTCCTAAAAGCCCTGCACCCTAAACCCTAAACCCTAAACCCTAAAACCTAAACCCTAAACCCCAAACCCTAAACCTCCAAATCGATCGCATGCTCCCACTCAGGCCACTGGGGGCCCGAGCCATGCCATCTTCCTTGGTGAGGTCGTCAACATGGCCACAAGGGCTGCAGTGAGCCGCCTTGGGAGCAAGGAGTTTTAGGGTTTAGGGTTTTAGGGTTTAGGGTTTTAGGGTTTAGGGTTTGGGGCTTAGGGTTTAGGGTTTAGGGTTTTAGGGTTTTAGGGTTTAGGGTTTGGGGCTTAGGGTTTAGGGTGTTTCAGGGTTTCAGGGCTTTAGGGCAGGGCTTTGGGGGTTTGAAGCCGAAGCCCCAGTAACTTGGGAGATGCCTTTTGGGGGGATGAACTAGGCTCCTAGTGGCAGCCCTAGGAGTTTGGCGACTCATGAACTTCGTACGCGAGGACTGCGTCAGCATGCTGGATGCCTTTAGTTTCCTTGAGGTTATGGGCCCCCAAGACCGCCGGCCTGCGCAGCGAACCGTGCCATCCCAAGATCTCATGTCAAAAGCTGGGGTTATGGGACCCTAAACCTAAGACCCCAAGCCTCGAACCCTCAACGCACTAAACCTGAGCCCCCCCTCCCCCCCTACCCGGTTGAGGCGTTTAGGGGGGTCCCTAAGTCTACCTCATTTTCAGGAGGCCTTCGGTAGACCTTCTGCAGAGCGTGGGCCACGCGCTCCACCTTTGCTGCTCTCAGGGTTTAGGGTTCGGGTTTAGGGTTTAGGGCGCTTTGGGCGCAAAAGGGGTTTGGGCTGCAGAGGGTTTCGGCTTCATTTAAGCAGGGTCGGGTACTTTACCCAAGTAGCCGAATGACGATGCAAACCTTTGCAGCCAACAGACCCCTGAGCCCCAATTGTACCCCAAATCCTGAACCCGGAACGCCAAACTGGAACCGCAAAGCGCAAAACTTTAACCTCAGACCCGAAACCCCCAAGCCCCCACAACCCGAAACCCTAAACCCAAAACCCCGAAACCCGAAACCCTAAACCCCAGACCCCAAACCCAAACCCTAAACACGAACCCTAAACCCTAAACCCCAGACCCTGACACCCCAAAGACAGGCCCAGAAGCGGGCAGCATGAAGCGCTCAGGACGCGCGTCCTTGGTCTCCTCCTCATGGGCTGACCAGGTTCAGGGTTAGGGTTTAGGGTTATCGGGTTTAGGATTCTCGGGTTCAGGGTTATAGGATTTAGGGATTTTGGGATATAGGGTTGCGGACCTAGGGATTTAGGGTGAGCCTCCATGGATTCGAAGGATCTTGGAGCTTTTGAGGGGGTGGGGGCTGGGGTTGAGGGACTTCAGGGTTTAGGGTTTAGGGTTTAGGGTCATAAGGCTTGTAGGGTGTGAATGGAACCGGAGGTCCTGCGGGTTTGAGGGCTATAGGGACGTAGGGACTTAGGATTCCAGGGTGCAGGGACTTAGGGTTCTAGGGCTTTAAAGGGTTGTATCTCGGGAGAAGGTTACTAGGCCTGTCGGGATCTCTAAATCGGAAACCCTAGAGCCCAATAGCACTAAATCCCCAAGTCTTGCAGCTCTAGCACCCTCACAGGCCAGGGGTTGTGCCGATGATTGAGAGGTCAGGCAATGTATCGGTTTAGGGTTTAGGGATACAGCTTTCTCTTTTAACCGGAATCGCATGCGCGGATACAGGTTTAGGGTTTAGGGTTAAGGGTATAGGGATCACCGCACCAAAAGAGCGCATGTGTACAGGGGTTGATTCTGGGATCAAAGTTCATCATGGGAATGCCACAGCCCCAAACCCTAAATCCCATAGAGCCGCCTGCGCTGCATAACCCAAACCCTAAACCCTAAACCCTAAACCCTAAACCCGAAACCCTAAACCCTAAACCTCTCCGGTGGGAACTTGATGCCGTTGTTGTGGAGGAGCTCGGTCGCTGTCCGCGCCTTCGGCTGGAATCTACATTGCTGGGCTTGCGAGAACAAAAAGAGGAACCCCTAACAACCGACCCCTAAGTAGTAGGATTCCTTTATTCCTTTTTTATAAGGGACCCCAATCCCTAGACCAAAAACCCTAAACCCCCTAGTTGCGGAAACCCCCACCTTGCTGGGTGTAACCATTAAGGTGCAAAAACTCTACACCCTGTAAACCTATACTAAACCCTACACCCTATAACATTAAACCAAAAGCCCCAAACCCCAGCCCAAACCCCAAACCCCGAACCCTAAACCCTAAACCCGAAACCCTAAACCCTAAACCCCGCCCCCCCCCCCCCGCCCCTCCCTTCGAGCCTCCGATTCTGCAGTCTTGCGGGCAGCTGTCTCCACCGTGAGATCCTGCTGCACCTCCATTGAGTTTTGTGCAAGCCGGTGACGCAAAGGGCGGAACATGCCAGAATTGCACGAGGATGTGGGAATATGATAAAAAATCAAGGAGGAGCAACTATTTTGATAACATGCTAGACTGACAGCACTCAGCCGCAACGGTGGCCTGCACTGTCAGTTGGCTCTGTGTGCTATTGATCTAAACGGAATGATTTAACACGAATTCATGACATTCCGTATGTGAATTGTTGTATACATGCATTCATGGAAGGAATCCGACAACCTAGAACTTCCTAGAACCCAGTGCTTGTCATGGGCGGCTAGGTTCCTCAAACTCCTACTTGGCAGCCAACAGCGGCGCGCAAGAAGCCCATGCCCGACGAACAGAGCCCTCAGAAACATCTCACAAATCCCTTAAGCCAAAACCCAAAACCGAACAACAGAGGCCGAATGCCCAACGGAGGCCCATTAGTCATTAAACCTAAAGCCCGAACCTTAAACGGTCACCTCTCGAAGAGCCCCTGCCTGCTGCATCTGCGCCTGGGCATGCATGATCGTATTTTCCCGAATTTGCAGCGATGGGGAGCAGTTGCGGGTCTTGGGGGGTATAGGGGGGGTGACGGCCATCTTTGCGCTTGCGTACGGCGCTTGCTGATTTGCGAGCTTCCCGTCGTGACTGGCAGTTCTGCTCTACCTATCGAATCTACGCACGACGCAACTGTAGTCAACCAGCCTGGTTAGGCTTTATAAGACGTAAACAGAGTTGTGACCCTAAACCTGTAACAAAGCCCCTTCATAAACTAAAGTAGCGCTGACTGAATCTTCCCCCCCCCCTCCCCTAGTAGCTTTGTAGCGTTTGGTCGAGGTGTAGAGGCCCTAGTAAACTAAACCCTAAACCCTAAAACCTAAACCCTAAACCCTAAACCCCAAACCCCAAACCCTAAACCCTAAACCCCAAACCCTAAACCCTAAATCTGCCAGCCGCTCTTCGTGCACGCCTCCACCTCCATGCGCTTCTTCTCCTCCACCGCCAGGAGATCCGAGGCCATCTTCCCAGCCTGGAAACCAAACATCATGGGCTTTCGGGGTTTAGGGTTTAGAGTTTGGGGTTTAGGGTTTAGGGTTTAGGGTTCCGGGAGGAGGGAAGGATTTGCATGTACCCTGTGGCCCCTCGAAAAAGGGGGGGCTGGGGAGGGGAGGCCCTTCGGCAGCTGCCCTTAAGTATCATTCAGTTCAGGAAGGCGAGGTAGCCGTGAGGAGCACTCATCCGAAACCGGTGCACTTGCCTCGAAGCTGCAACAGCACCTAAACCCTAAACCCTAAACCCTAAACCCTAAACCCTAAACCCTTTACCCTAAACCCTAAACCCTAAACCCTAAATCCCGAAAGCCCTAAACCCAGAACATGGGAAAGTGTGGCAGCATGCACAGGGTGACCCTAAAACCTCAACCCCCGGACCCCAAAGCTCCCCCTAAAACCATACCTCCCAGTCCTCCCGAACCCTAAACCAAAGAATTCCGGGTTTCGGGTTTAGGGTTTAGGGTTTAGGGGTTAGGCCGACTTTTCCGCAGGAAGGGCCTTCACATCGGTGCACCAGCAGACAAAGCACCGTAGCACCTGCTGCATGTCCTGGAATGGGTCTAGGCTTTATAGGGTTCAGGGTTTAGGGTTTAGGGGTAGAGGGTTTATAGGGTTCAGGGTTTAGGGTTTAGGGTTTAGGGGTAGAGGGTTTATAGGGTTCAGGGTTTAGGGTTTAGGGGTAGAGGGTTTATAGGGTTCAGGGTTTAGGGTGATTATAGGGTTTAGGGTTCGGGGGTTTAGGGTGTAGAGGGGCTTAGGGTTGAAGTTTTTTGGCACTAGGGCTGCCCGCTAGCCTAGGTCAGAACAGGGTGCACCTTCGTTTACTTGTTTCACTGAGCTCACAAGACATCCGAAGATGGGATTGCGCACGCACAGAAAACACACACATGTCGATGCTAACGAAAGCAGAGCTGAATGAAGCCAACTTCACTACTGTTGAGGGCGGAAACAAAACCCAGGCAAGAGGCATCATCACACGCTGTGGAACCCCTAAGCCCAATACCTTAGCGTCTGAGGGCCTTGCCGCACTGGACCTGAAAAGTTTCTATAGCTCGGGCTTCAGGGTTTAGGGCTTCGGGGTCGGTCCTTCATGTCGTTCTCGCGGCTGTTTGATGACCTGGCATTCGGCACCCTGAACCCTACAAAGCCTAAACCCTAAACCCTAAACCCTAAACCCTAAACCCTAAACCCTAAACCCTAAACCCTAAACCCTAAACCCTAAACCCTAAACCCTAAACCCTAAACCCTCCGCGCCAGCAGCTCTGGTTGTCAGACATCCCCTGTGCGCCGCACCTCAGTTTGGCAGTGGTGTCCTGCCTCAGCTCAAAGAGCTCCTTCTTGTGATCCTGGGGAGGGAGCACCCCAATAAACCCTAAGCCCTAAGCCCTAAGCCCTAAGCCCTAAACCCTAAACCCTAAACCCTAAACCCTAAACCCTAAACCCTAAACCCTAGCCCTAAACCCTAAACCCTGAGCTGCCCAAAAGAGCAAGAGGCTCAGTCGAGTAATTGCACTCCAGGTCCCCCTGGGGTCTCTGAACATGAAACCTCAAGGGAGTAGAGGCGGGACCCTGATAAGGGACCGGAGGTTTAGGGTTTAGGGTTTAGGGTTTAGGGTTTAGGGTTTAGGGTTTAGGGTTTAGGGTTTAGGGTTTAGGGGGTTATTTCGGGAATGTTTAGGGGCTACTTAGGTACCTGGGGACTAGATAAGGTATATATAGGGCTTACACAGGGGTACATAAGAGAATGTCCCTCCTTATACCTTAAAGAAGACCCACGTGTAATCTAGGAACAAAAGAGTTGCCCTTGTTGGTTTGAAAGGGCTGGAAAAAACCGAAGAAAGGGGAATCCGGGCCTTCTCTGGGTCCTAGCATATGGCTTTAAAGGGTTTGGGGGTTTAGGGTTTAGGGCTTAGGGTTCACGGTGATATTTTCCCCAAAATACCCTAGTGAAGTCCTGACGCATGTTGGTCTTCTGGCCTGGCAGAGCCAGCGGTCACCACGAGGGTGTGTGGGTTCAGGGTTTCAAGCTTGTGCTTGAAGCTTTCAAGTTGAGCTCAGCCTTTCGGGGCAGATTTGGTCCACACAGTCCCTATAACTGTCTCCGAAACAATCTTTTTTTCGCCAAACCATGTAATCCAGGGGCCTTAGTAGTTCGAGTGGGTCTTGTATGCTATAGCTATAAAGGGACCATACGGGAATACTATTTGTAGTTTTTCCGACCCCTACATTAGACCTTCGAGGTGCGATGTAGCCGTAGCCTGGGAGGATGCAAAGAACTCAGGTGCTACCTCACTATATAGGGACTGGGTGAAGGAAGGATGCAGAGCGCATCTTTTCTGCAGTTGGGTTTAGGGCTTTAGGTTTGGGCTCATTACTAAAATATTGTCGGCGCAAGTTCCAGCCAGCAAGCGCCAAACAAGACAAGAGTTCTTGATTCCCTGGATAAATATGTAGATTTCTGGCAATTCTACTGAATTTTGGGTGTAAGCGGTCACCATAATTGATAGAATGCCCTAAACCCTAAACCATAAACCCTAAACCCATTGGAATCTCAACGCCCCGCTTGCTGGCCAGGCCACGGTGTTCCGCCTCCTTGCGCGTCAGGATTTCCCAGGCGCGGAATGCAAACTTCACCTCTGGCTCGAAACCCTAAACCCTGAACCCGAAACCTTAAACCCTAACCCTTTTCCCCTAAACCCGAAATCCTAAACCCTAAACCTTAAGGCCTGAACCCCACATTGACGTCAGGTACACGTGTGCGGAGCCCGGAGGGGTGTGAATAGACCTACAAAACCAAGCTCACGAAGTTTAGGGTTTAGCGTTTCGTGATGTTTGGCGTCAGTGTGTTCATGAATATGTGCCGTCTAAAGAGGTCGCTGTAGGTTTCTCGCACGCAGTCGCCTGACACCTGCCTTGCCTGACCTCGCCGGTGTGTGAAGGCACGATTTTCATGAGTCTCCAGCCCAAACCCTGAACCCTAAACCCTCTAAACCCTAAACCCGAAACCCTCTAAACCCTAAGCCATAAACCGTCAAACCTAAACCCGCAATCCGCTGAGATATCGACTGGTGGCCTTTGTGTTCCAAGCTGGGGGGATCATCTTGGAGAGGTTGATCCACGGGAGCCGGGGGGCGGATGGGGGGGCGTGGCGGATATAATAGTCTTTGTGTATATGTATATGTATATGTATATGTATATGTGTATGGAAATTGAATGAAAAACAAAATGAACATGTATGTCGCTTCAGAGGCGCAGAGGACTGTGACGCGCAAGCAATCTGCAACATAACGCAAAACCCAATCGCGGGAAGGCTGCAGAAAATCTGGAGCCATATCTACAAATCCCAAACCTTTACAGGTCCAAAACCTTAGAAGCCCCATGAAGAGAACCCGCTGCGGCATGTTCTCGGAGTCATCGTTACCACCGGAAGACTCCAACAATTGGGTCTGTAGCTCTGGGGAAGACGCTCCGGAGATCTCACTGGCTGCGACCATGATGTTCGACATCACTACCTCCGGGCAAAGCTTGAACGGAGGCGGGCATAGATGTGAATCAGGATGCTGGCAGACTGCCCTGAGCCCTCAACCACAAAGCGTACATAAGTGCCCGGGAAAAAGCCTTCAACCATATCCACCAAACCCCAAGCCCCCCCCCCCCCCCCCCCCCAACTGAGCTGCAGTGACATTGAAAGCTTTCTGAACACCAAGTGATTCAAAACCAGACCGAGACCCTGAAACGAGGAGCTCTCTCACGGCGCCTCATCCTTCTGCTGCCGCTGCTTCACTTTCATCCTCTCGGCCATGACGCGGGCCTGGCCATGCACCAGTTCAGGGTTTCAGGGTTTCAGGGTTTCAGGGTTTCAGGGGTTTAGGGGTTTCAGGGTTTTGGGATTTTAGGGGTTTAGGGTTTAGGGTTTAAGGATTTTAGGGGTTTTGGGTTTTAGGGGTTTAGGGTTTAAGGCTCAGGCTTTCAGGACTTCTGTTGGGCTAGATGCCCCCGCCCTGGCTTCGGAACCCTAGACCCTAAACCCTCAACCCGAAAACCCAAAAGTGGCCCCACGTAGGGGCGCTTAGGGCAAAAGGCCCCGGGGGGGGGGGGGGGGGAGATAGAAATAAGGCGGGTTCAGGAAGTTCAGGGTCTAGGGTTTAGGGTTTAGGGTTGAGGGTTGAAGGTTTAGGGTTGAGGGTGGAGGCTGAGGGCTTATCGTCGAAGTGGTTTAAAGGTTGAGGAACGGTCTCTCATTCCACCCCTCGGGAATCGAACCCCTAAACCCCCGGAAGCCCCTAAGCCCTAAGCCCCGAAGCCCCTAATCGCCGAAAGCCCAAGTCAGACCGAAAACCCTTCAAGCCCTGAAAACATCCTAAAAGCCCTGAAAACCAAAACGCCCTAAAACCTAAATTCGTCCTACAAAAACCCTAAATCCAACAAAGTCCTAAAGCTCTAAAGACCTAAACTGACCCTAAGCCCTAAACAAACCCCTAAAAATTGCGACGTCCCCCTTACACTAACAATCCTTAATCGAGGATGAAGGACTAAGGGGGAACATCCCAACCTCAACCCTAAACCCTAAACCCTAAACCCTAAACCCTAAACCCCAAAGAGGCCTCCGTGTGGTTGTTCGCTTTGGTGAGAGCTCGCCTCAAGTCTCTTTGTTTCGAGGCGCGTCTAAGGGCTCTCGAGTTCCTAGAGGGTTTAGGGTTTAGGGTTTAGGGTTCAGGGTTTACCGGCTCATGATCGTGAATGTGTAGATTTCGGGTTTAGGGCAAAAGGTTAAAACCCTGAAGCCTCATCTTCAAAGTGAAAAAAACAACAGTCAACAAAAACCCAGAAACAGCTCAACAAAAGAAGCCTCAAAGGCAACAGTACGCGATGGCCATTTGCATTTACTTATCGCCGCACCCCCCCCCCCCCCCCCGCCCCCCTCTTTCTTCCCCCACCCGCGCGGAAGTACTACAGACCCGGATCCATGCCCTTCAAGAAAAATCCATAACATCCCCCAAGAGCCTCAGGGCGGCCAAACATAGGTCAGGCCACCCCCCCCCCCCTCCCCAAAAAGGAATACATAAATGGAACTCAAACCTCAAACCCTCAACCCGCAACTCTCACCTCTCAACCCTCAACCCTCAACCCTAAGCCCTCAGAGCCCTAAGCCCTAAACCCTTAGCCCTAAGCCCTAAGCCCTAAGGCCTAAGCCCTAAACCCTAAACCCTAAACCCTAAGCCCTAAACCCCAAGCCCTAAACCCTAAACCCTAAACCCTTAACCCTAAACTCAAGAAAGGCCCCGCCGAGGCCGATGCGACTGGACCTCCTGGAGCTGCCACACGCGCCAGCCTGGGGGGCTCTAAGGGCCCCTAGGGGTTTAGGGTTTAGGGTTTAGGGTTTAGGGTTTCGGGTTTAGGGTTTGGGGGGCTCTAGGGGCTGTAGTACGGCCTCTCGGGGCTTTAGGTGTAGGAGTTACGTTCAAGGGCTTTGGGGGCATGGGGGGTGTCAAGGGTTGGGGATTTGGGGGTTTTAGGGTTTCAGGCTCCCTAGACCCCTAGACCCCAAAAGGGTTTAGGGTTCAGGGTTAAAACCCTAAACCCTAAACCCTAAACCCCAAACCCCAAACCCTAAACCCTGGCTGTGGTGCTCAGCTCGACACAGCCCCAAGCATGGAGAGTGCTCACTTCCTGCGGCTTTGGGGGGGGTTTAGGGGGTTTAGGGTTTAGGGTTGAGGCATCTCAGGGGCCGTGATCTCCATTGTCTACACCCTTCTTGGGGCTCTCAGATTGCGAGCTCAGAACAGAATCTTGCTTTTGGAGTTTGGACGGTTTCGGGTTTAGGGTTTATGGTTTAGGGTCTAGCCCGGAATCTGCATCTCCATGTCTGCATTGAAAGCCCTCCCCGTCCATCAGCAGCTGGCCGGTCCTTGGTTGTGTCCCGCACCCCTCCCCCCACCCCCCCTCCTAAGCCCTAAGCCCTAAGCCCTAAGCCCTAAGCCCTAAGCCCTAAGCCCTGAACCCGGAACCCTGAACCCTAAACCCAAGAAGCACTTCATCCCTCAGCCGCTTAATGAGGGCCCTTACAGCAGCCCCCTTTTGTTCAGAGTCGTTTAGGGTTTAGGGTTTAGGGCTTAGGGTTTGCAGGGTTTCTGGTTCTCCTTCCTCTCCAAGTAGCCCCTTCTGCGTCCGGCTGCTCCATGCAAGACATTGGGGCATTAGCAGGGCTTTCGGGCCTGGAGTTTAGGGTTTAGGAGCTTTAGGCGCCCACTCTGAGGCAGAAAGAAGATGCCCTTACGGCCTTGAGGCTTAAACCCTAAACCCTACACCCTTAATGTGTTTCAAAACTGAAGTGAAGCTAGTGCTGGCAGGCGGCCACTCAGCCATGTGGCGGCAGGTGTCGGTGAGGTCCTGGCCGCCGACACGAGCCCTAAACCCTTCTACTCCCCTGTAGCCCAACTTTTTGGGGCCTCCTCAGTCCCGTACCCTAACCCTAAACCCTAAACCCTAAACCCTAAACCCTAAACCCTAAACCCTAAACCCTAAACCCTAAACCCTAAACCCTAGAAGGAGCCTAAAGGACTCAACCACCCCACCAATCACAGCAAATTCTCCAAATGCCTACAAAATCCCTGAATCCTAAGCGCTAACAACAAATCCTGAACCCTAAGCCCTAAACCCTAAACCCTAACACCCCAAAGTCCTAAATCTCTTTCCGGCGCTTTTGGGGTGTGGAGTTTGACGCATTTGGGGTTTAGGGCCTTCGGAGTTTTAGGGGGCTTAGCGGTTTAGAGAGCCGGGCTTAGGTTTCAAAGTTTGGGGGGGGGGGGGGGGGGGGGGGGGCTGAAACCCCAAACCCTAAAACCCCCAAACCCGTTGAACTCCTGGGCCCTTGCACCATAAAAAAGGCTCAATCCTTGTCTCAAGATCCCTGCAAAAAAGCTCTGCCTCCCCTAAACCCTAAACCCTAAACCCTAAACCCTAAACCCTGAACCCTAAACCCTAAAGGCCCTAAACCCTAAACCCTAAACCCTCTTTCCCCTCTCTCCCTTGCCTTGCCCTTCTTAGAGTCGATCTTCAAGTGCCAAGATTTGTCTTGGAGTTCTTGTAGAGATTGCTCCAGCTGCAAAGGAGAGGCAGTAGAGAGGAGAGAGTTTCTTGGGCGGTGGGGGGGGGGGGGGGGGGGGGGGGGGGGGGCAGGATTTTAGGGAGCTTGGGTTGGTGTATTTTCCAAAGTAGGGTATTCATAGAATCCCCATAAACGGGAACCCCCTATTGTTCGGAAACCCCAAAAACATCTTTTGGAGCATGCAGAGCTGGGGGAGGTGATGGGGCCGGTGGGAGCATGAGTCGCCTAGCGTGGCCGGCCCTTGCTTCGTGCATGCTGCTTTGGGTTCCCTTTAGGGTTCAGGGTTTTAGGTTTAGGGTTTAGGGTTTAGGCTTTAGGGTTTAGGTCTCTGGAAATGAAGGCAAGTGCGGATGGCTCTTTTGTCATAGATGTGGCGCGCATGGAACGTGCAGCAGACCGTCCTCTAGAAGGGCCCAAGTGCTCGCCATGCAACTGCACGCTGTCTTGCAGAGGAGGACGGAAATCTCGCAACCACAATCAGGCGCGCCCAACAAATACTAGACCCAAGCGTAACCTGTGAAGACAAAGGGTGCCCTTTTAGTCTAAAGGGGCCGATAAGAGAACCTAAGCCCTACAAAAAACATGAATAAGGAAAAATAATCCCTATCTAGACCTACTGGAAGCATGTTCGCAATCCCCGACCCCAGCCCACAAAAAAACAAAAGTGACTTCGTTCATCCCCCCCCCCCCCCCCCAACAGGACTAAACCCCTGAACTCGAAGACACCGCTATGATTGCCTTGAGCTTCACCTCTCGCTGCTCGCTCCAGCGCCGATAGGCGATCTGCGAGTTGATGGCCTTTCAGAAGGGAAGTTCCGTGGTCCCTCAATCTGGTCCACTACCTTCTTTAGAGGGTTCAGGGTTTAGGGTTTAGGGTTTAGGGTTTAGGGTTTAGGGTTTAGGGTTTAGGGTTCTGCCGTATGGGCCCTTGGGATTTAGGAAAAACCTAAACCCTCAGCGTTAAACTCTAAACCCTAATTAAGGTGGCTACCCTAAGACTTTCAGAAAGGCCGGAGCAGGGCTTGGGGAGTTTGAGGATTAGGTTTAAGGTTAAGGGATTTTCAGAACTTCAGGGTTTGAGGATTAACCCTACAAACCCTACAAGGAAAGCCCAAAAAACCCAACCCGAAACCCGAAACCCTATGCGCCCTAAACCCTAAACCCTACAACCGATAATCCCCCAGAGCCCTGTTTCTCCTAATCCCCAAACCCTACACCCTACATCCTAAACCCTAAACCCTAAACCCTAAACCCTAAACCCCCCAGAGCTGGCCTCGGACCAGATCACCAGTACCAAGGCCAGGAGCATCTGGTTCTCTCGTTGGCCTGTTTTAGGGGCTTAGGGTTTGGGTTTAGGGTTTAGGGTTTAGGGTTTAGGGTTTAGGGTTTAGTGTTTAGGGTTTAGGGTTTAGGGTTAGGGTTTAGGGTTTGGGGTTAGGGGTTAAGGGTTAAGGGTTTAGAGTTTAGAGTTTAGGGTTTAGGGTTTAGGGCTTTTGACGCGCTTTGGGGGCCTTATGGTCAAGGGCCATAGGGGGTTCTACTCGGACCCCAAAAGATAAACCCCTAAGAGGTTTCCCTAAGGGTGCAACCTTAGGGGTCCGAGGTACAATCCTATGACATGGGGTGTTTGGGGGGTGTTTGGGGGGCTTTTGGGATCCCGGGATACGCATTTCGTTTTGTAGGGCTTTGGGCTT